ATTGAAATTGTTCAAGTAAATTTAAAACATGTTGAACATGTGATGACTTGATTCTAGAGATCGAGCTGGGCCTGGACCAAGGCCCGGGTTTTTCCCGTACCCAGAGTCCATACCCACTCATTTTTTGACCTTACTGGGGTTTTTCATGGGCGTGGGGTTCTCCTGGACTATAGGCCAAGGATCCGGCCCAGGACAATAAATCAAACCAAGAACCCCTTTAACAGACCCAGGCTTTTCAAAAATCTTTATCTCTACTTGATTCTTTGTTAAGAATTTCGGAATAAAATTTTAAATAAAATTTAGAAAATTAATCTCAAATCTATCCAAAAATCACTAAAAATTTAATAATTCCTTTCAAGGAATGTGGACAACTTTTATTTTCTTTTTTAAATGAAAACTTCAATCGACTTGAGGATTTGATTTTAGCTTTTTCCAGTGGACGGGATACTTGTTTTATACAAACAAAAGAAGGAGATCAATTTCAATTAATTAGGCCAATTAAAAGGAGAAAATGTAAAAAAATAAATTTAAATTATTTTTAAATATTTTTTTAGTTGCTGGACGTTTTGGATATGGAGAGTGTTTAAATATTCGAGATGCTGTCAAACCTAATAAAATTGAGACTGGTTTTGTGAGAATATTACGGCATGACTTTTCGAGTAGTAAACAAGTTGAGGAGGATTTGGAGAAATTAATTGAAATTAAACATAGGTGGGTAGAGTAGGGGTTTTTTGAAAATACTGTTAACAAGGGAACATTTCAAACTGAGACCAAAAATTTTCAAATAAAAATTATACCATCGTTTAGAGTGTGGTCGAAAACCTATTGTAATTTTCTGCTTTTCTTCCCCTGTCCCACATTTCGAAAAGTTATAGGGGTTCAGTTTCCGAGAATTTAAAAAAATTTAAATGTTGGTATCTTTCCAACTCCAAATATGAACGCTAATTTTGGAACATTTTTAAATTTATTCTGTTCATTTTACTTAAAATATTATTTTTTAAATAAATTTTATTTCAGAAACTTGGTTCGTGTTCTCGACTTTTTTATTTTACATTCGTGTACGTATAATGGTTCTCCGTTAATTTTTGTTAGATTTGACCAAATTGTTAAAGCAACCTCTCTTTTTGATCGTTTATTTGATTTACAAAATGTTTTGCCTTCCCGTCAATATATTAAATGGGGATATCAAGTAGTTAATTATTTTTTGTTTAATTTTGTAGAGGGAACTTTCATTAATTTTTTCTCTGACCTATCCCATCACTATGAAAAAAACTACTCGAAAAACTGAATAAAATAGAAAAAAAAAACAAAATTCGGTGAAAGCGGAAGTAGCAATATCCCTAACTCCGTTACATATAAACCTTTACTTAACTCCTATTAAAAACGGCACCAGTAGAGCCAAAAAAAGATGGAATTAGGCGAACGTTAAGGAAATAACATGTCTAGTCTTTCTATAAACTTTTACTCAATCCTCCTTAAAAAAACTACTCGAAAAACTGAATAACCCACTTATTTCCAGATATTTATTTTTTTATTTTTAAAGGCAGCCAAAGGATTAAATTTTTTAATGGATAGAGGGATTTTACATAAACGTTTAACTGCTCGTTCTTGTTTGTTAGACAATATGGAGAATTTACGTCTTTCTGATTTTTGGACAGAAAATGATCCTGGAGATTTAAATCTTTTTCAAAGAAATTTACCAAATTCTATTAGTCAAAGGACTATTATGTTTAGTGATGGATGGCGGTAAAAACAAAAAACAATTTTTGAATACAAAAATTGTTTTTTAAAGTTATTTACCAGCAGAGACTTTAATTAATAACCAATTTGATTGTACTTCTCAAGTTTGGACTTTTGGACTATTAATATGGCAAATATATACTCATCACCAATTTGGAAATAGAATTATGTAAATTTTGGAATTGTGTAGAAAATTTTTTGATTTTAGACTTGGATAGCTTTATTTGATAATAGAGAGTTGAAAGGCTTGAAAGGGAAATTCTTCTCTCTTTTCCTTTTTTCCCAAAAACCTACTAAAATTTTAATTAGATAATTGTTAACAAGGAAACATTTCGAACTTCAGGAAAAAATTTTTCAATCAACCGCTCCAAAAGACGAAAACTTTGAAGCCCTATAACTTTCTGATTTGGGGGGTAGAGCCGGAAAAGAAAAAAATTGGCAATGGGAAATTGACCCTGCTCTACACGATGGTGTAAATTAAATTGAAAAATTTCTCCTGACAGTTCGATATGGTTCCTTGTAAGAAATACCTTTCTAAACAATAAACCTCCCTCTATTCCCTCTCTCCACATTCTAATAAAATATTAATTTAATAAATAAATTAAAATTCTATATTTTCTAGTTATTCAAGTATGGAAGAATTTCTATCTTTAACAGCTGGAAGGGATGACCCTTATTTTATGCCTGGACATTTAAACAAAAAAGAATCACAACAAGGAATGCCTGAACAGTTAATAATTTTAATTAAATTTGATTAAAATTTAAATTTTAGACGTAGACGTAAAGCTGTTTTTCTTAAAGCTTCAGAACAACTTCCACATCCACCCGAATCTCTCGCGTATATTCAAATTTTATTAAAATAATTTATTTTCTAGTAAAATCATTCCTTCTGCTCTTCTACCTGATCGTTCTGAACGACCTTATTTTTCCGAAATTTTTCGTATTTTGGAATGTGAAAAGAGAATTCTTGATTTAGCTCATGTGATTGGACGTTTCTTTTAATTATTTGATTTTAATTTAGATTTTTGTAAAATCTTTATAGACTTACTAATTTTGTTTTCAATCTTTGATTTTGTGATTTTAATTAGCTAGACTTGTTAAAATAAAATTAATTGCTTTTTAAATTTGTATTTTTATAAAACAACATACCGTAAATTCTCTAATAGAGGCACACTCTCCACACCCTCCAATAGAAGCACACCCTCTAATATAAGCAACCCTACGGGAGGATCGAAAAATACAAGCACATGTGCTTCTATTAGAGAATTAACAGTATGTAGGTAAAAATCTCTCGCATATACTATTCAGATTTGCCAAAATTAGTGAGAAGAAAGGAATTCACTGAGGTTGGACACAGCTGGTTAATAACACATACCCCGGATTTTCGGTTCCACTTAATTGGCTAAAACACCTGGTTAACTGTTCCGGTTCGGTTAACCGTCCAACCCTAATATTCACTTCATAAATATGAATGTATTATTTATCTTCATCAAAGATTTATTAAATTTTTACAAGCTTAAATTGAATATTTTTTTGCCAAAATTAGTTAGGAAAAAGGAAATAACAAATGCCGTCTTTTTATTTTTTGTTCACGCGTTTTTTGATGAATGTTGTTAGTATATATGTATTGACATAAACTTATTCCTACACTTCAACATTATGAATAAAATAAGCTTTAATATAAAAAATAAAAGTCAACAATTTTGTCCAACCCTTAAAATTGCCTACATTTAAAAGAAAAAAAGTCCTTTAAAAATTTTTTTATTTAAAAAAGTCTGCGGGGGTAAATGAAAGTCGATTTTCCTCTATTAATATTTGCCAAAAAAATAAACTTTTAAACTTTAATGTCCATCAATTATTTTAAAATAAAATAATTATTGGCAGAAAAGCACAAATTTACATAAATATCTATAAAATATTTTTAACATAAATTTTATAAAATGGATATGAAAAAAAATTTTAATTTTTTAATTTAATTGTGCTCATTACAAATTTAATGCAAATAAACAATTATGGACTTCTATTCGAAATTGTAAAGCATATAGCTATTAATTTCCTAAGGGTGTGCAGTAGGCGGCGTGTTGTAATGGCTAACACATCAGTCCGGTTTACTGCAGATGCCGCCGAATAACCTTTTGCACTAGCTGATGGAGAAAAATAGCTATAGCCCAGTTGCTTTACTAAATTTGTTAAGTCGAAAGTTAAGATACAACTTTAAAATCATGTTAGTTTATGAGCTACTTTATAATACATATAAGCTTAAGATAAATTATAACTAATTTTTTCTTAAAATTTCTAGAATTATTTTAAATAATATTAATTACAAATTCAAAAAACTTTTTAAAATAAATATCAATAATTTAAGAGAATGTAAAATTTAAATAACTATAAATTCTTATATTTTAAAAATGCCTATTAAACCTTCATTATTTATTTTAAACTATTTATTTTTAATAATTTCCAAAATTACTTCATTAGAAGAACAACAATATTCTAATTGTAACAACAAAAATGAAAAATTAGCTACTCAATGTTTAGAGCCAATGTTGGCCTTTGCAAATGTTGTTCAAGAAAGGCAAAATTTAGAGCAAAACGAGGAAGGAAAACATCAAAGACATTTTTCATTACCTGAAGGGCCACAAGTTTTTAGACAATTGTGTTCACTTTATGCAGATTTTAAGGCTTGTAATAATTAAATTTTTTAATTAAAATTTAATTTTTGTTTAGGAATGCACCTCAACATTGGAATGTGAAAGTTTGTCAGTGAGGGCAGTAGAAGCTAGTTATGGGTAATTATTAAGCAGGCTCACCTCATTTTAGGATACCTCCCTGTGGACGAGAAAATCATACCTTATAATGAAGGGCATTAAAGGCATAAATTAATAGTAACGTTTATGTAGTATCCTCTACTAAGTGGCTAACTAAATTTAAATAAAAAACGTCTTAACTCAAGAGGTACCTAAATTTTAGGGATATCTAAAAATGAGGTTCGAAAATTAAATAATTCTTGGTCTGTTTGTTTACATAAAGATACAACTTTTAAAGACCATTCTTCCTATTAATGACTTGAATCCTGTTAAAACCCAATAAAAATAAACATTTAATTTGAAACTAAATTTTTTAAATTCTTAATTTGGCTCTCCTCCCTCCATAACAATTCACATTTTTATAAAATAAAAATTCTAGAACTTATTGGACGAAAAAACAATTTAAAAATAATATTTTAGTTATATGTGTGGTATAGGAAATCAACAATTTAAAGAACATGCAGATTGCTTTTCTCGGGTTGAAAACAGAGCAGATTATATTCATTGTCGGTCTGTTGCTGGACAAGAAATGGATAAAGCAACAAATAAAAAATATAAAAATAATGAAGAAAAATTTAACGATAAAAACCAACAAAGCCAACTTTGTTTTACAATGAATAATTATTTGGATTGTTGTAGACCTTTAGTTGAAAGAAGTTGTGGGTCTAAAGCTTGGGAACTTGTTGCAAAAGTGAGTAAAAAAATTTGAAATTGTTTAAAGCTTGAATGAATTTTTTAGATAACAAGAGATAGTCTTCGCGTTAGTTTGCCTGATTGTGTTTTGACATCACTTGAGAAGAATGGAGAAATTTGATATTGCGAATTTTAAAACTAATTTAAAAAAATATTTGTTTTCAGATAATATTTTTAAAAATAAAACGAAAGCTATTTTATCTTTAAAAAAATTTTTTTAATTCTAGAATTCTAGACTCAGAATATTCGAATTAATCAAACAATTAGAACGGAGATTTTGTGTGTATTTTTGAGAGGGCTTCTACCTTGGGTGATTTTGTGTTGGATATGGGTTGTAATAAACCCGAGCTTTTACGGGAATTAAAAATAATTAAATTTGTAAAAAGTATTTATTAAAAATTAATTTTGAAAATTAAAAACCACATACAAATCACGGGACACTCCTAAGTAGGCGCGAGCCACGCAAAGCCATAACTAGTTTGAAATTTCTGGGCCTTAACAATTTTGGGACCAATCTCTAGCACGATGAGTGAAATCGTTTAATACTAAATTTCGAAAGATTCTGAAATCTTGAAGCAAGTTATGACTTTGTACCTACTTGACCGCGCGCCTACTTGTGCCGTAACTACAAATCACATACATAAAAATCTATTTAGCACATAAATTCTAAATTATATCTTTCATTAACTTCATTCCCCATATTTCTTAAAAGAATTTGCCTAAAATTTAAAAAATCTTTTTCTTTTAAATAATTTCTAAAAAATTTTTACAAACGTTTTTTTCCTTCCAAAAGTTTCATTCATTATTTCCTTCAAAACAATAGAATTTCCAAAAATAAAATCTTTAAAAGGGTCGGGTTTAGCAACTTTAATTACTTCAAATAAATATCCTTTTCTCCATTTAAAAATAGTATCAGGTCTTCTTAAATAATTTTGATACTTAAAAATTATTTTAAAAATTTTTTAAAGCCAAAAAACCAAAAATCGAAAAGAAGCTTTTAATTTATTTTCATTTTCTTTTAATATTTTATCAAGTTTTTGGAAGAATTCATTTTCTTCAACAAGTTCATTTAATTCATTAAATCTATCCAAAGTACAAGTAAATGTTTCCAAAGCCTTTAAAATAAATAAATTTATTTTTAAAAATAAAATTTAAATAAATTATTTACATTTAAATCCTTCAAAAGTTTTAATGCATATTCACTATGCAAATAAAAAGATAGTGGATTACGAAATTCCAAGTTCTAAAAATTGAAAGAAAAATTGGAAAAATGTTGAAGTTTTTATTTTTAACCCCTTAATATATTCCAAAATAATGTACCCCAGAATGGTACCATAACTCAATGCTTCTATCTTGGGATATATAAAGGCTTCTGTCTATCGTAAATTGTTTAGGTATGTAGGGAATACCAGAATTTGGAGAGAGAGAAGGATAAAATTGGGGAAATGCCTCGCCGATATCTCCCCTATAGCTTCTTAATTTTTCATTTCCTCTATAAACTTCACCTAAT